AGTTGTGGTGCTATCCACCTCAGCACCTTGTCATCCCCCCTGGCTATCATCAAAAAGTAGTTGGGACAGACTCCTCTGCATCTTATAGGAACATTTGGCAAAAGAGGAAATGGTGGTAATTTCAGGGGATAAGAGAGAGTACAGGACCCTGGGGAAATTTTCCTCTGCAATAATCCTCCAAGCTAGAAAGGATGATTTATCCCTATTAACTTTCAACTGTACTTTTTCCCACATGCGGACTCTTCTTAGTCCTACCAGATTTTCTTACATTTTAAATCTTTCACAAGGCGATCCTAACTAGTTCAAGATTTTTCATTGTTGAGATAAAAACACAAGATTTAAGTTGAACCCCCATCCACTCTTTGTCCCTAGGGTTGTTACTGCACACTGTGAATACAAAATTTTGATTGAATGTACTTTCTTTTATATTATGAAATGTTGCAAATAGACAGTACAGAGAATAACACTATACTTAGAAATGCACCACTTAGCTCTATAAAATCCCAACATTGTGCCATAATTGCTTCTGATGTTTTTCACAAATAAAATACCATCCATAGAGTCAAAACCTCCTTGTATACTCCTCTACAATCAATCCCCTCCTTCCTCAGAGGTTACCAATATCTTGAATTTTGTGTTCATCATTCCTAGGCATGGGTCTATATTATTACTGCATATGTAAATATCCATAAAAGATATTTAGTATTGGTTTGCATGTTTTACATTTCTATATAAGTGTTACACATTCTTCAGCAACTTGCATTTTTCTCAGCTTAATGTTTTATGATTTATTTTCCTTAGTAGTTCTAGCTCACACATTTTTATCTGTTTTTATATGCCTAAAGTATTCTATATCATGAGTACATCACACTTTATTTATCTGTTCTCCTACTGATGGATATTTAGGTTGATTGTTTTCAATTATAAACAATGCTGCCATGGACATCCTTGTACATGTGATCATAGTTTTCCACTCTAAGAATGAATTCCCAGTTACTCAAAGTGGCAAACCCAGGTCTGGCTTATCTGTTGGCCTATGTGCTTTGCGTTATCCCTTCTTTCCATTTCAGTCCTATCTTCCTGATGTTTTACTATGAAATCTGGTAGAATTATCAACTGTCTGAAATTAGAGTATCATGGGCTAAATTTAGCTCACCAAAAATCTCTTCTCAGTTCCAAGAAGCATATCATAGGTTCTGATTGAGATTTTCACCGAGAATTTCCTGGAACCAGAAGAGAAGTCTTCTTTCCAATATAACTGTAGCAACAAAGAAACCTAATTGCTCTTGCTAAGTTCCCAAGAAGCTCTATTCAAGCACCAAAGAAACGTAATTATTTGATAAGCTTCATGCTCAGCACTATAAGGGGTGAGCTTTGTGATGAAGTCCTCTAGCCAAAATCAGTTTTCTGGCTGCATGTTAACCAGGGAAATTCTCATCTGCTATAGTCCTCTCCAAGAGGCCTCAGGTTTCTGGTTCTTCTGGTTCTTCATGTTAATATTTTACATGAGAGCCAGGTAGATAATCTGTAAGTCTGCACTCAACATCAGATTGGTGGTAATACTTTCAGCACTGTCCCTCAGCTCTCAGGGTGACTACTGGGGTCTTTCCATCTTTCACTCCAGACTTGAGTGGCCCTTTGGCCTTCTTTTTCGGTTTAGTTTTTGTTTTCCCTAGTTTAAATATTTTATTTATTTTGTCCTTCAATATCAAAATAACACATGCTCATTATAAAAAATGTTTCAAGGGGTGGCTGGGTGACTCAGTCGGTTAAGCCTCTGACTTCGGCTCAGGTCATGATCTTGTGGTTCGTGAGTTTGAGCCCCATGTCGAGCTCTGTGCTGACAGCTTGGAGCCTGGAGCCTGCTTCAGAGTCTGTGTGTGTCTCCCTCTCTCTCTCTGCCCCTCCCATGATCACCCTCTCTCTGCCTCAAAAATAAACATTAAATTTTTTTAATTTTACAAGAATATTAAAAAAGAAAACTATAAGAATATTAAAAAAGAAAACATCAATTATAAGCTCACTATCCAGAGGTATTAATATTTGGGCATATTAACTTCCATTTTTCCTGTGCATTTTTCTTATATTTGAGATCATACTGCACATGCAATTTGTAGTTTACTTATATTTCTTAACATTATCTAGCTATCCATCCGACCAACACACATTTTCCCCAAAATATCCAAAGGTTTTGTTTAACAGTATTCCTGATTATCTTTCCATGATATTAGGATCTCTATATAAGCATCATTCACCAAGTTAAAAAGTATATGCATTTTGCATTTTGAAATACATTGACAAAATAGTTTCCAGAAACATTTTACCAATTTCCACTCCAGATATTAGTTTTTGAGAGCCTGCTTCCCCAATCCTTTATTTATTTTCTCTCCATTTCTAGTCAGTTTTATACTCTGTTTTTGTTGCAGACTAATCTGTGTTTTTCATTGAGCCAGTGATCTTGAACTCCAGTGTATTCCAACCTCCAACTTGTGTACAGTTTAACTTATCTTGACTCTCCAGAATTTCCTTCTTCTAGGAATGAACTATATTGACAATCGTTTATTTTTCTTTTAGGGAAGAAGGGCAGTGATCTTTCTGAGGTTCAGATAACCAACAATAACTCTCAGGGTCTCTGATGATGGCTCTCAGAGAGTGAGAATAAAAGCCTGCAATTAAGGCTTTTGTATTTCCAACACCCTCCCTCAGTGCACATGAACCTCTATAGAAACTGAAAGTCACACGTGGCCCATTTGTTTCAGGGTCCTCAGAGGAGTTCTCTCACCCCATCCCCTGATGGCTTCATTTGCATAACCAAGAGGCTTTGGGATGAATTAGGTCAAGGTCTTGTCTCTAGCTTCTTGTTGAGCACTGATTTACTGAAAATTATAGCTCTCCCTTATTCCCAGGAATTATTGATCTGATCTCAATACAGCATCTTTGGTCAAAAAGCAGCAAGTATCTGATGACTCTTTGGAGAACATCCAAACTGGTTTTCAAAAGGCATATCTTCCCCTTATACTAAGTCACTTCCTGGTATGGGTCTAGTCCACTGAAAGGAAAATCTCTATAGGAAATTTGCTCAAATGGAAATAGTAAATCATAGTGCTGATAATTTCAAATTGCACTGAGACCCTAGAAGCAGACGGGAAATTGCATTAGTTCTCACCATAAAGAGTTTACAAAGGATTCTAGCCAAACACATCACTGGTCAAGAACAACAAGAATTTGTACTTTAATGCAGTTTAAATATCTGAATATAAAGGGGGTCAGAATAGAGCACACAGGGCTAGCCTTAAGAGATACTGTTTCGGTATAATGCTTTACGTTCCATGAGTATTTGCATTTTGTGGCTTTTTTGGAGGGTGACATTGTTTTATCAAATAACTGAGGCTCCAGAGAGGCTATAGCACCCTTAGTTCCGGGGCTTGGCATGCAAAATGAGGGAAAGAGTAGAACTAGCACACAGCTAACAGCACAGAGGACAGTCCCACAGCTTTATAGACCCCTGCCTCTAGGCTTTGCTGCTGGCCTGCCTCTGGAAATGCACAGCATGGCATTGAGATTTTGAGCTTGGAGAAATGAGTGCCAGGATATGGGACCAGGATTCCCTTTGGAGTCTAATAGCCCACCCAAGGATGTCTTGATCAGGGTCAGCAATCCATTTTATTCTAAATGTCACACCATTTGCTCTAGGCAGGCCCTCTGGGGACACTAGCAGGTCTCAGGCAGAATAAAAATAATAGCAAACCTGGAGATGCTAGTACTTACTATTGCCAGGCTTTGTTTTAACTGTTTTATATATATTAACATGGTTCCTACTCATAACAATCCTATGGGGAAGGTAGTAAAAAAGTAGTGGGAGAGAAAAAATGGAAAAAAGCAGGGGAAGAAAAGGGCAAGAAGAATCCAATGCAATTCAACAATTATTTATTAAGCACAACTCTGTTCTGGGGATATGGTAATGAACAAGATAAGGGGGGTGTAAAGGGGAGTACAGGTAGAGAGAGGAGGAGGAGAGAAAGGAGAAGGGGGGTGGAAAGGAGGAGAGAAGAGAAAAGGAGAGGAGAAATAATGACAAGAGAAAGGAAAACTGTGCACATGGCAGGCAATGGTAATAGGAAAAACCTTCCCCATGACCTCAGGGGTTGGCCACACTTTCTGGGCTGAGGCTGAGGCTGTTTTCTTCTGGCCCAGGCTCTTACCCTCATTACCACGAGGTTGGTGCACACATAATCATTCCAATAATCCAGCCCACTCCAGACAACATGGGCCCGATGCAGCCCAAGGCAGGTAGTTTACACCCTGGTTTAGACGGTGCTTTTCCCCAGTTTACACAGGTTGATGACCTATTGTGGCACGTGAACTTATACTGTTTTCCCAATCTGCCTCCTACTTTTTCTTCTTCTAAGGGCCTCAGTGACACAAGTATACATTTTGGGCCTTCAAACAATATTTTACCAAATGGCTTATTTTTATCCTACCACCATCGACAATATTACTTTCCTGCCAAGTTTTGCCAAGGCTGCCCGTTTCCAACATTTGCTACCTGTTCAGATGATCACTTCATGCCACTTTTTTCTCTTCTTGTTCCCCCCACAACCCTACTCAGAAAGGACCCTTACATCCCATTCTGATCATTGGAAAGGACCACCAGGGCCTTGTGCTGATGACACTCCCACCCTCTGTCAGCCTTCTCTGCCAGCAGAGGATATGGCACCAGCCACGCTTTCTTGCCAGCCTTCAGGGATCCCATGAAAAATAATTGTTGCTGCTGCCCAGCCTCTGCCATGCCCCAGACCCACCTCAGTCCTGACTTAATGCAGGTAGCTTTCCAGATGCATTGAGATGCCAGGACTTTGAAGGTGTGACTCGATCTCAGAAGACACTGGCCCTGGAGACATATTCTTACAGTCCAGAGAGGAAGGACAGTCTGAGCAAACCCCACCCTTTCACAGCCACTCAGTTCCCTTTTTTTGTTTCCTGACTTAAACCGATGTCTTTTTTTTTTCTTCTCAGCAGCATGGTATCTGGTTCCCTGCCTCTGTTCCTATACCACCTCCCCCTCCCCGAGCCCCCAGCTGTCCCCGCCCTTCATTTGCTTGGGACCTCTGACACTACTATCTTAAGTCTGCTCTGAAAGAAACCTTCTCAACATTACTCGGGACAGTGAGACTCTAGATGGGTCTGGGTTGAGCAGACAGGTCATCAGGCTGACCTCCCCAAGGTGAAGGGACGACATGCCTAAAGAACTGTGGGGATATTCAGCAGAGAGAGTGGAGACTTACAGGAAAGAGGAGAAATGCAGACCTTCAAAGATGTATCAAAGGGTCTAATGAGGAAGAGTCTTTACAGTCTCATGTCCTTGAAGGCAGAGGAGGTTCAAGGTCACACAGTTAAACTTGATAACGAAAGATGGAGACTGCTCACAAGGGGACCCCCAAAGTGCAGAGCCTGAGAGAGGTAGAGACAAGACTTCCCCCTGCTGAGTCATTTTCTAAGAAAGCATGTTTTTCTACAGATAAAAATGTACAAATGTAAGCCCTCACAAAGACCTGTGCCCTTCCCCATTTTCTGCGGATGTTGATTTTCTCCATTTCAGATTCTGCCTCAGGGATTAACTCTTTTTTTAAAATTGTTTTCAACATTTATTTATTATTGAGAGACAGAAATAGAGCATGAGCATGGGAGGGGCAGAGATAGGAGGAGACACAGAATCCGAAGCAGGCTCAAGGCTCTGAGCTCTCAGCATAGAGCCTGACTTGGGGCTCGAACTCACAAACCACGAGATCATGACCTGAGCCAAAATCGGACACTCAACCGACTGAGCCACCCAGGTGCCCCTCAGGGATTAACTCTTAATTTACACCTTTTTCTTTAATTCTGTAAGTCTATAAACCAGACTAAGTGTGTTAATTGAAGCCTGAATGTTTCCTCAACTACTTCTTAGCCTGTGTTCTGGCCACAATCATCTCTTGGAGGATTCTCCTAGGAAATGAAGACAGTACTGGCTGCAGACCAGGATGGCGGCAGAGCCCCTGCTGACTGGTTGGCTTTCCCACCTTGACACATCAGGCACTGCCATGTTTACTTGCCCTACATGCTGTATCCTAAGATCACAGATCTCACTAGAAGTCTGTCAGAAGTCTTAAGGCAACAAAACTTTTTAAAACACATTTTGTAGGGATGGTAGAGTGGATAATAGTCACATCTGCACAAGATAGATATATCCTTTCACTAGTCACTTCTGAACAGCTGCTCTGGTCCTCTTCCTGAGAGTTGGTCACAGACATTCTCCTCCCCTCCCCTTTTCGTCAGTCAGATGCTACCTGTTGTCACATGGCCTATCCCTTCTCGAGGGCCATCTTGGGGTGGAGACCGGAAATTGATAGGCATACAATGGGGGATCTGGAAAAGGGAGAGTGAGACAAGGGGATAGGGTAAAATAAACCTATGCACTTTTTTACCATCTGCCCATGAGCCTTTCCCTAACACACTTCTCTAGATGACAGAAGGGCTGCACCCAAATAGTGCAAATAAATGGCCGAGTGTCGCCTCAGAAGATTCCCGATGTAATGTAAGGTTTTTTTGGGTGATATCCTGTTGAACATTTTTTAATGAACTTTGAGGAAGATATAGGAAGTAGCCTAGCTAATCTGGGAATGGTGCAAGGCTATTATGAGTTAGATTGGATGACAGAACTGGAGCAATCAGTTTGCAAAAAAGGTCTTGGTCACCTGGTATGATAAGCTAACTTCAACCAAGTGTATTTTACCAAATCTAAGGGATGTGTCCCATAATTGGGCACCGAATTGAACTTCAAAGGACTCCAGGTGAAAGTGGGATTGCAGTAGCATTTGTGAAAATGATTCATAGGTTTTTGCTGATAATGATCAAGAGAAATGTCAGGTCAGTAACATGGCTGCCAGAAAATCCAAGGTCATATTAGGCTTCCTTGTATAAGTAAAATATCTAGACAGAGGAAAGTGAATAGGTCACCTACTCTGCAAGGTGAGGCCATATCTAGACTCTTGTGTTAAGTTCTGAGTGCCTTGTCTTAAGAAAAATTAAGCAGGAGTATGTCCAAAACAGAGACCAGGATTAGTGAAGGAAATCAAAACCAAAGCCATGTTACACAAGGTGTAATAGAAGGAACTAAGGTTGATTAGACTAACAGGGGCCATGTTCATTGTCTTCATTTTTCCATTTGACTAATGTCAAAACCCTGTAGAAACTCTTCAAATGTCAGTAAGACTGCCTAAGAGCCCAAAGAGAAGAAGAAAATGTCAAGACTATGGGCTGGCTGTTTGGCAAAGAAAGTTTTAGGAAATGCAGCAGGTAGTGGTAATGTTTTATTGTCTCCTTCCCAGAGACCATCCAACAAAAAGAGGATGATCAGAGAATCAACTCTGGACTCATGGGTATTCCTGGAGAGTTATGCAAGCATGAGATCCTAGGCTTTCATAGTTCCTTAGCCCTTAGTCACTGGTACCCCTTCCAGAGTCCCTGATCAATTCTCTCACTTCATCATCCTCTACCCTGCAGATGCCCCTGCTTCCCCCATGTGATGTTGTGGTTAGGTGCAAGGCTGTGGTGTTAGAACTACCTGGGTTGAGATTTCAGCTCCACAAAATAATCACTTGTATTGTGCCTGAGTTTCCTTACCTGTGACATATTCATAACAGTACACAATACATGGATTGTTAGGATTACAAGAGGTAGTATATAAGGTGTTTAGGAAAATGCCTGGTATATAAGAAGTCCTCAATAATTGTTAGCTATTATAATTACCAGGCCACAACAGCCATATTGTATAATGTTAAAGAAACCCAGAATCTGGAGTCAGATCACCTGTGTTTATATCCTGGCTCCACTAAATACTATTAACATTGGGCAAAATGTTGAATATACTATTTGAATAGCTTATGGCCTCAACTTTCTCATGTGTAAAATGGGAATAATAGTACTCCCTACCTCTTAGAATTACTGTGAGAATTTTATGAAACAATCAACTTTAACTTTTTTATTAAATTTTTTTTTTTAAATTTTTTTTTCAATGTTTATTTATTTTTGGGACAGAGAGAGACAGAGCATGAACAGGGGAGGGGCAGAGAGAGAGGGAGACACAGAATCGGAAACAGGCTCCAGGCTCTGAGCCATCAGCCCAGAGCCTGACGCGGGGCTCGAACTCACGGACCGCGAGATCGTGACCTGGCTGAAGTCGGACGCTTAACCGACTGCGCCACCCAGGCGCCCCTTATTAAATTTTTTAAATATTTATTTTTGAAAGAGAAATCACAAGCTGGGGAGGGGCAGAGGGGGGAGAGAGAGAGAGAGAGAGAGAGAGAGAGAGAACCCAAAGCAAGATCGATGTTGTCAGCACAGAGCCCCATGCATGGCTTGAACTCGCAACCTGGGATCATGATCTGAACCTAAGTTGGAGACTTAATGGACTGAGCCATTCAATTTAAATTTTTTTAAATTTTTAATTTATTTTTGATACACACACACACACACACAGACAGAGCATGAGTGGGAGAGGGGCAGAGAGAGAGGGAGAC